ACACACAGAGACACACAGAGACACACAGAGACACACAGAGACACACAGAGACACACAGAGACACACAGAGACACACAGAGACACACAGAGACACACAGAGACACACAGAGAAACACAGAGACACACAGAGACACACAGAGAAACACAGAGACACACAGAGACACACAGAGACACACAGAGACACACAGAGACACACAGAGACACACAGAGACACACAGAGACACACAGAGACACACAGAGACACACAGAGACACACAGAGACACACAGAGACACACAGAGACACACACAGACACACAGATACACACAGAGACACACAGAGACACACAGAGACACACAGAGACACACAGAGACACACAGAGACACACAGAGACACACAGAGACACACAGAGACACACAGAGACTCACAGAGACACACAGAGACACACAGAGACACACAGAGACACACAGAGACACACAGAGACACACAGAGCCACACAGAGACACACAGAGACACACAGAGACACACAGAGACACACAGAGACACACAGAGACACACAGAGACACACAGAGACACACAGAGACACAGAGAGACACAGAGAGACACAGAGAGACACAGAGAGACACAGAGAGACACAGAGAGACACAGAGAGACACAGAGAGACACAGAGAGACACAGAGAGACACACAGAGACCACAGAGAGACACACAGAGACCACACAGAGACACACAGAGACCACACAGAGACACACAGAGACACACAGAGACACACAGAGACACACAGAGACACACAGAGACACACAGAGACACACAGAGACACACAGAGACACACAGAGACACACAAGGACACACAGAGACACACAGAGACACACAGAGACACACAGAGACACACAGAGACACACAGAGACACACAGAGACACACAGAGAAACACAGAGACACAAAGAGACACAACACACAGAGAACCACACAGAGAAACACCAGAGAACACACAAGATACACACAGAGGACAACACAGAGACACACAGAGACCACACAGAGACACACACAGAAGACACACAGAGAGACACACAGAGAGAGACACAGAGACACAGAGAGAGACACAGAGAGAGACACAGACACACAGAGAGAGACACAGAGAAACACAGAGAGACACAGAGAGAGACACAGAGAAACACAGAGAGACACAGAGAGAGACACAGAGAGAGACAGAGAGACACAGAGAGAGACACAGAGAGAGACAGAGAGAGACACAGAGAGACACAGAGAGACACAGAGAGACACAGAGAGACACAGAGAGACACAGAGAGACACAGAGAGACACAGAGAGACACAGAGAGACACAGAGAGACACAGAGAGACACAGAGAGACACAGAGAGACACGAGAGACACAGAGAGACACAGAGAGACACAGAGAGACACAGAGAGACACAGAGAGACACAGAGAGACACAGAGAGACACAGAGAGACACAGAGAGACACAGAGAGACACAGAGAGACACAGAGAGACACAGAGAGACACAGAGAGACACAGAGAGACACAGAGAGACACAGAGAGACACAGAGAGACACAGAGAGACACAGAGAGACACAGAGAGACACAGAGAGACACAGAGAGACACAGAGAGACACAGAGAGACACAGAGAGACACAGAGAGACACAGAGAGACACAGAGAGACACAGAGAGACACAGAGAGACACAGAGAGACACAGAGAGACACAGAGAGACACAGAGAGACACAGAGAGACACAGAGAGACACAGAGAGACACAGAGAGACACAGAGAGACACAGAGAGACACAGAGAGACACAGAGAGACACAGAGAGACACAGAGAGACACAGAGAGACACAGAGAGACACAGAGAGACACAGAGAGACACAGAGAGACACAGAGAGACACAGAGAGACACAGAGAGACACAGAGAGACACAGAGAGACACAGAGAGACACAGAGAGACACAGAGAGACACAGAGAGACACAGAGAGACACAGAGAGACACAGAGAGACACAGAGAGACACAGAGAGACACAGAGAGACACAGAGAGACACAGAGACACACAGAGAGACACAGAGAGACACAGAGAGAGACAGAGAGACACAGAGAGACACAGAGAGAAACTAGAGACACAGAGAGACACGCAGAGAGACACGCAGAGAGACACGCAGAGAGACACGCAGAGAGACACGCAGAGAGACACGCAGAGAGAGACGCAGAGAGACACGCAGAGAGACACGCAGAGAGACACGCAGAGAGACACGCAGAGAGACACGCAGAGAGACACGCAGAGAGACACGCAGAGAGACACGCAGAGAGACACGCAGAGAGACACACAGAGAAAGACACAGAGAGAGACACAGAGAGAGACACAGAGAGAGACACAGAGAGAGACACAGAGACAGACACAGAGACAGACACAGAGAGAGACACAGAGAGAGACACAGAGAGAGACACAGAGAGAGACACAGAGAGAGACACAGAGAGAGACACAGAGAGAGACACAGAGAGAGACACAGAGAGAGA